GTCTTCCTCAGAATGAGCGTTTAAGGCCACGTGTGTGTGTGTGCGCACACACACACACACACACACACACACACGCGTGCACACACACACACAACCCCCCCAAAACAAAACTACCTTCTCCCCAAAACCATGTCTTGAGTTGACATCCTTCAGTTAAGAAGAACAGTTAGCCAGAAGCAGAACTACAGAAGCCAACAAACAATGTTAGTACATTTAGAGATTTCTCTAGAATTAGAGACTGATGGATTAGGGTCATTTTGGCAGGTGGTGCTGTCTATATGAGCTGAATTTTGCAGCCTCAATGGTACTTCCATCATGGAGTGACTTGTCTGGGCCCCTCTTTTAGTAATAATTAAATCAAGGTGCTTTTAGTTGCTGTTGTTTTTCTGTGTGTGGGGTACTAGTCTTGACCCCAGAGCCTTCCAAATGTTAAAGATGCTCTACTACTGAGGTACAGCTGTAGCTCCTTTTTTTTTTTTGGTTTGGTTCGGTTTTTCAAGACAGGGTTTCTCTGTGTAGCCCTGGCTGTCCTGGAACTCACTCTGTAGCCCAGGCTAGCTTCGAACTCTTGAACTCAGAAATCCGCCTGCCTCTGCCTCCCAAGTGCTGGGATTAAAGGCGTTCGCCACCACCGCCGGGCTGCTCCTTATTTTTTGAAAACAGTTTTGCCTTCATCTCATGACTATTGGCAGCTGCTGTACTAGCTGGTAGCAAAGTCAAACACTGAGTTCCGTATTTGTTTAAGTGTAAATTCCATTCTTACTTTCTACAGCTGGAAAAGCATCTTTTGGGTGATCTGTCTGGGCAGGATGCAAAAGACTTGCTTATCTTTTGATAAGAGATATTATTTTGGGATAAAAAAAGATAACTGGATGCAGATGGTTGTTTCCATGGTGATGATGAAATTGGAGTTTGGTTCTTCAGAGCCAATCATTTGCTTATCTTGCATTATTCTGATTGTTTCCAGTCTACACACCATATGCTTTGTTACTCAAGTAAAGTCAAGCTGTTTCGTCATGTGATTTTATATCTTCCATTATAACTTCAATGGAGAACCAGTAGTAATATGAATACAACCAGCTGTTGTACAGACCAAAAATAAAAACAAGTAGAAAGAACCCAAAGCCTGTTTACATACAGCTGCGTCATTTCTTTTAAAGATAAGAACATGTTAGAGGTAGCTGTGGTGAGGAAGCCACAGTAGACATCATCATACCACAAGGGGCCTCTTTCCCTGATGTCACAGGAAGAGTTAGAAGATTTTTGGGGAGCTCAGGAGGTGGTGCCATAGTCAAGAATGTGGACTGCTCTTTCGGAGGACCTGAGTTTGGTTCTAACTCCCGTGTCTGTGACTCATGACCACCTGTAACTCCCAACTCCAGAGGATCTAAGCTCCCTTTCCTGACCTCCACAAGTACCTGCGGTCATAAGCACATCCCATAAACACACACACACACACACACACACACACACACACACACACACACGCTATACATAAAACATACGAATAAATCTTTTAGGAAAAGGTATTTGAAAGCAGACATGTTTTAAGCCTGTGGGGTCAGTGGGCCTCATGGAGGTGGAAGTAGGAGGTTACTAGGAGCTAAGGCAGCATTTTTTTGAAGACATTTATACATCCTCAACATCCTCACACGTTGTTCTTCCTTCTTCCCATCTGCCAGCTGCGGTTTCTATCAGCTTGCTCTGGCTGCTTCCGAGTGCCAGATTTTGATTTCAATTCTTTTGTCCAACTGACTCAGATTCTCAGTCCAAGAACTAACCTATCTATCTTTCTTCCTTTTCTTTCCTTCTTTCCTTTCTTCCTTCCCCCCCCCTTCCTTCCTTCTTTCTAAGCAGGGTCTTACAGTGTAGCCCTGGTTGGCCTGGGACACTATGTAGACAAGGAGACTGGCCTTAAACTCACAAAGACCTGCCTGTCTGCCTCGTGAGTGCTGGGATCAAAGGCATGCAACACCACATGTGGCAGCCTACTAATTTATTTAAACCAGAACCCATAAAATTTGGGTTAGTGGCTAATCTGTGATAGCTCCCACCCTACCTAAATCCATTCGGCAGTGGTTAAGGTAAGCAGAGTCAGATGGTGGAGACCATTTAGGGCAGCAAAAGTCTGACAGAAGAGAGAGATACTGGCACTAATCTAACATGCATCTTTTTTTGCTTTGTTTCTGTTTTTGGTTTTAACTTTTCAGGACAGAGTTTCTCTGTGTAGCCCTGGCTGTCCTGGAAATCACTCTGTAGACCAGGCTCCCCTTGAACTCACAGTCAGAGATCTGCCTGCCTTTGCCTCCCTAGTGCTGGGATTAAGGTGTGTGCTCCACTACCTTTGGGCTCTAATATGGTTGCCATAGTTAAGTTCATGTTTAGATGTAGGAATGCCAACTGTCAGCCAGAAAAGATGCCCTCTAGGGGAAGGAAGTAAAAGAGAGTGATGGGATCCTTGCTCAACTGCAGGCATAAGACATCACTTTTAATGGAATGATTCAGAAAGCATCTCTGTGGGCTGTTCTTTGAGTTGAAACTTAAGGGTTAAACTTAAGGGAAAAGGTGAGAGCGACAGAGGACGGGAAAAAAGAGAAAAGATGAAAAAAGAGAACTGAGCTGAGTGAGAAGCAGGAGAGTGCTGAGTGCTGAGAAGCAGGATGTGCGGAACAGAGTTGGAGATACCCTGTGACCTACCGGGAGATCTTAACCAGAGGCTCACAAGCTCTGAAGACTAGATACACGTAAAGAGGGTACAAAGCATCTCAAAGTACGACCAACAAAGGACGACAGAAGGTGGGTATGAGCTTTTTTGACATCTTAACACTCCTGAAAATTACTGTTTATAGTCCACTTCAGTTTAGAGACATGGCTCTCGATGTAGCCAACAAAGGATGACCACTAGCTAGCAGTGTGTAATTCTTGTGATATACGTTACTCCTTAGTATTATGTAGGGAAGATGTTATGTAGAAAGAAAACATTAGCCATCGAATCCCCAGATTGTCTCATATTCGTAAAGCAACCTTGTGAGCTGGGTTTTCTTACCCCTGTTTTCCACACAGGAACGCTAAAGATCAAAGTGAGTAAGAGCCTACAGACGTCACCGTCTACTAGTGACCACCTAGGTGGGAGCGAGTATGTCATTTCCAAAGCCTGTCGTTCTTAAATTGTATTTGCAGGATGATGATTCAATTTAATTGGTTAAGAAAAGATACAGAAAGCTGGAATCGGTGGTGCATGCCTTTAATTCCAGCACTGGGGAGAAGAGAAGGGAAGAGGACGGCAGATCTCTGACATCAAGGCCATCCTGGGCCGGGCAGTGGTGGCGCACGCCTTTAATCCCAGCACTTGGGAGGTAGAGGCAAATGGATTTCTGAGTTCGAGGCGAGCCTGGTCTACAGAGTGAGTTCCAAGATAGCCAGGGCTACACAGAGAAACCCTGTCTCAAAAAACCAAAAACAAAAAACCAAAAAAAAAAAAAAAAAAGAAAAGAAAAAGAAAAAGGCCATCCTGATCCTGGTCTACACATCTAATCTCAGGAAAGCCAGGGCTACACAGAGGAACCTTGTCTTGAAAAACCAAAACCAAAACAACAACAACAAAAAAGATACAGGGCTGCAAGATGACTCAGCAGGTAAGGGTGCTTCTTGCCAAACATGAGTACCTGAGTTCAATCCCGGGGCTGCACATGATGGAGAGTACTGACTTCTGCAAGTGTCTCCTTCTCCATGTGCATGCCATGGCTTGCAAGTTCCCACAGATGGACCGATGGACAGACAAACAGACAGAAGTTTTTTATAAGTAAAAACTTAAAAACTGCAACAACAAGTGAATTCAGTGTAGTATCATTTGCTCCCTATGAGATTGTGAAAGGAGGAATGACTTCTTTGAGGGGAAAAAAAGATCACAGTATTACACTGAAGTTCATGGAATTTCAGAGTTGGGAGAATTTAGAAGCCAGTTCACGTGACACAACAAAGTCAGGATTCCTGTTATCAGGTTGATGGGCTGTTACCCAGCATTCATTAGAAAAATCAAAGAGGTGGGAATTTCTTCCCTACTAGATCTCAGCTCTGTCAGTCATTATTTAGTAATGATCATTAGATCATTAGATCATTACTAAGTCACTTTATTCCATTCAGTTTTCTTAGCAATTAATTAAATACATTTTCACAGACCATTGTTGGACAGATGAAAGGAGACAGGTATAGAGATTAATCCAGTCATAGAGGAGTATAATGTTGGTTCTACTTAGTTTCTTTTTATAGCACAGCTATTTAGTTTCTGGATTGTCATCAACTAGAAGGTCTCCCTCGGTATAAGTTTTAGCAACATCTTGAGGTTAAACCTTAATGGTCAAATGAAACGTGCTTCCCCCAACCCCTACCTTTCTCTTGATATCTTCACAGATATCTTATTCCAGTTAAAGGAATTGGAGATACGGGAGGAAAATTTTGTTCTATGTTGAGCTGGGAAGCTGGTGTGAGTCAACTGCGTGATCTCAAGAACTATTTAGATTGAATGAGTGGGTCAAAGATGACTTTCTTTTTTTTTTTTTTTTAGTTTTGGTTTTTCGAGACAGGGTTTCTCTGTGTAGCCCTGGCTGTCCTGGAACTCATTCTGTAGACCAGGCTGTCCTCGAACTCAGAAATCCGCCTGCCTCTGCCTCCCAAGTGCTGGGATTAAAGGCGTGGGCCACCACTGCCCGGCCAAAGATGACTTTCAATTTATAACGTGAAGCTCTGTCCGATGATGGAACACGGGGATACTATGAAAACAGCCAAACAGCTTTCCTTGAGCACTCAGCTTCTTTTGTGGGGTGGTGGGGACTAACTTCGGTTTCGTCTCTTCAGATGTCCGCGAGATGGCGATGGGGAGCTCGTATGCCGCTTGCGGGACACTCCTGGTCCACCCTCTGGGCAGACAGACTACAACTCCCGGAGTGCTCTGAGAAGGGAGGCGGGGTCTTCTGGTAGGAACGCGAGGGCGGGTCTTCCGGGTGTGTGTTTCCGGCGTCGGCGGCCGCGGCCGGGGACGGTGTGAGAGCGGTAAGATGGCGGCCGCAGCAGTGGTGGAGTTCCAGAGAGCCCAGTCTCTACTCAGCACCGACCGGGAGGCCTCCATCGACATCCTCCACTCCATCGGTAAAGGTCCTGGCGCCGACCCGGCGGCTCCGCCGTCCCGGCGCGGCCTGTGTCGGTCGGAAGCGGCGGAGAGGGGCCGGACTAGCCGGCTATGGTGCTGCTGACTCACTGTGTGTGAGGGGGGCCGGGCTGGGGGCGCAGGCCGCTCGGGGCCCCCGGGAGCCCTATGGCTTCCAATCGGGCGGGAAGCCCTGAGGCATCCCGCGCGTCCACCTGCTGGCTGCTGACTCACGGTGGGCGCAGCGCAGCGTGGAGAGAGGGCCGGGCCGGGTTCGCTACCCCTAAGGGTCTCCGGTTGTGGCCCGCGCGAGCTGGCCGGGGGCTGAGAGTGGCTGCTGGTTACAGACTGGTCGTAGAGTGTGTTCCTGAAAGGTCCGGGCGACTGCCGCTCAGGACTGACATTTCCCGCCGTTGTTATCAGCACAGGTTGCTCCGGGTGGGAGCGCGAGCGCTTCTCTTGGAGTTTTCTTCCGGGACGCTGTGAGCTGCTGCTTACTCCCAGCCCTCAGCAGCAGACTCCAGCAAAAGAGGACCACTTTTTGGGTGTGGGAAGTTGAAGAGTGCCACACACTTCAGATTGGTATTTGGTAGAGGTGGCCGAGACGATCTTCTGTCCGGTGTAGACTGTGAGGCGAAGAGTCCTCGGAGTGGGACCGCCGGGACAGGAGGTGACTAATTTTTCCCAGTAGGGGTTGAAGTTAGTTCTGAGAGTCTGTTGTTCAGGGAACTTTTTGGAACCGGCGGGCCTCACGTTGCTGGAGAAAAGGAAAAATTTAACACCATAGTGCGATTGATTGTCTTAAACCTGAGGGCAACAAGAAAGTTGAAATAGGAAACTCCAGCTGGTCGCTTTCTACTGGGATTCAGGTATGAACAGAAGTAAATGGATGATGGCAGAGAAGGCCTTTTAATATTCAGTCCTGAAGGGTTCAGTTGGGGAATGAGCTTCTTGTGGTAATGTGGTCTTTTAAATGTAGCCTGGGAAGATTCGGATTGGATCAACAAGTAGTTCGTGAATGGAGGTGAATGGAGGTATATGAGGGACTTCCAGGATTGTTGGTACTTACGGTGACTTACTGAGTCTGTTGAATTTCAGTACTCAAGACTTGTACTAAAAAAGGACAGTGTCAACAGCTTGATGTCCTTATCTTTGGGGATACTAGAAAGGAGAGGAGTTGGAGATCACAGTGCATTTTGAAGGAATTTTGTTTGTTTGTTTGTTTGTTTGTTTTTTGAGACAGGGTTTAGGGTTTCTCTGTATAGTCCTGGCTATCCTGGAACTCACTCTGTAGACCAGGCTCGAACTCAGAAATCTGCCTGCCTCTGCCTCCCAAGTGCTGGGATTAAAGGCGTGCACCACCACTGCCTGGCTTGAAGTAATTATATTATGAAATGTTTTATTTCGAAGTTCTGTTTATGTCAGTTTTAGCCCAGAGTACCAGAGTCATCCGGTTGTTTTTACAAAGATATTTTGTTTTTCTGTGATCACATGTTAATATTTAGAACTAATCTGAGGAGCATGAGGGTTTTTTTTTTTTGTGCTTAGTGCCAAATTTTTTGCCTTTCAGTAAGTAGAAATTACTGATAAACATTGCCATTATAGTATTTCACCTTTATAAGACCCATTATGAACTTTAGCCTATTTTCCAAATGAAACTACCAAATAGATAAGGGGGGGGACCCTCTAAAGAAAAGTGAAATACAGATATTATAAAAAGAAAAAGAAAAAAAGTAGTGGTTGTTCACTATACTCAGAGTCCCCTGCAAGTTTCCGTGTTAGAGCAAGCTTGAGTCATGGTGGGTGACAGCATTACTTTTTCCGGAGTCCATCATGAAGTATCAAAATCTTGGGTTTTGTCAAGTCATGATGCTTTTTTAGAGCATTGGTAACTAGTCATGGTCACCAAAATAAGCACAGCAAACTTTGGAGAGGCTATTTGAGGTTCAAGCAGTTGAATAATTATTAACAGTTGAAAGTAGGACAGATAAAAGTTACTTTAACAGGACCTGAATCCGTCATGAGGCAGCAATCTCTCCTGAGTGTGACTGAAGCTTTGATAGGAATTTCTCTGGGAGGATTTATAGAATTGCTTATTCTTGATACAATCCTTCAGCTAAAAGCTTTCTGTAGACTTAAAGTTTGTTGAAAGACTTGCTTTATAGTAATCAATAACTTTGTAATTTGATTTTAGTTTGTGATAGGTAAATGCACAGGAATGTTTTAAAAAATATCTTAATACAGCACAGTTACTGGTATGGAGCTCATTATAACTGGGAAGTATTTACTTTAATTTTACTTTAAGCAAGCACAGCAGAAATTTCAAGTGTTGGTGGGTGAGATGAATTCTAAGGGATTGATTAAAAAGGTATACTTTAAGTGAAAAATACTTCTTTTACTATTAATATGAGGCATATCCTACAGTTATTTGGTCATTTTACTTTAAAGTTTTTTTTTTTCCCTTATTTGTTTTCTAGTTTCATTTGGAGAATAGGCTAGAGTTCATAATGGTCTTATAAGGGTGAATTTTTCCTTGCTTCATTTTTTTTTTTTTTAATCATAATTTTAAGAGTTCATTTTCTTTTTTTAGTGAAGCGTGACATTCAGGAAAATGATGAGGAGGCAGTCCAGGTCAAAGAGCAGAGCATCCTTGAACTGGGGTCTCTTCTGGCGAAGACTGGACAAGCTGCTGGTAAGTCTTACAAATGGATTGTACCTATAATGCTGTTGTCTGAAATGCCAGATGCAATGTCTCTCAGAACACAAGATGATATCTAACACCCAGTTCATTTGTGGAATTCAGTTTTATTTTCCTGACAACTTGTTGATCTTCAGTTTTGAAGCACAAAAGTGTAGAATTTTATTCTACAGGTGAGGGAAAGTCCTGTTTTTGTTGGACTATGGTAATCTGTGATTTGTTCTTTGTTTTCAAGTTCTCATTGTATTTCCTTACATGTCTACAGCAGCAGTCTTCAGCAACCTCATTGACTAGTTCTAGTATATTTAAAGAGAGTGACTTTAGGCTCTTCACTTGAAAAATGGCCGCAGAGTTTGTATCCAAGTGACTCACTTTTTTCTGATGTAGAATGAGTAAAACATTAAATAGTGCCTTCCTAAGGCGACTTGTTTGGTACCTGGGACTTTCGCATATTGTCCAGACATCCAAGTGGTAATTGAACCATTAACTGGTTGGGTTTGAGAAGGTAGATGAATGATGACCAATAAAGTCATAGTATCATAAGCTTGTTTAAACTTAAAATGGGTAAGTCATATCACTTCAGAGTGACCTTAGAGGGGCTGAATAGATGGCTCAAGAGTTAGGAGCACTTGTTGCTCTTATAGAGGATCCGGGATTTGGTTCCCAGCACCCACAGAGTGGCTCACAACGGTCTGTAACTCCAGTCTCAGGGGATCTGATGCCCTCTTCTGACCTCCAAGAGCACCAGGCATGCACATGGTGCACAGATATACATTCATGCACATAGCATAAGTAAATATTAAAAGAAGTTAAAGTGAAGTTAGAATTTATTTGATTAGAATGAAGAGAGTTCTGGTAAGTCACTTCATAAGTCTCTCCCTCCCTCCCTCCCTCCCTCCCCCTCTCTCTCTCTCTCTCTCTCTCTCTCTCTCTCTCTCTCTCTTTTAAGTTTAGTTTAGTAAGCCAAGAGGATGGTGGAGATAGTATAACAAAAGTTCTTAAACTTGGCTGGAGAGGTGGCTCAGTGGTTAACAGCACTGACTGCTCTTCCAGAGGTCCTGAGTTCAATTCCCAACAACCACATGGTGGCTCACAACCATCTGTAATGGGATCTGATGCCCTCTTCTGGCGTCTCTGAAGACAGTGACAGTGTATACAATAAAAGAAATAAATCAATCTTAAAAAAATCTTGGACTTATAAACTAAGATCTTTTGCAACTAATGATAATTTATCTTTTTAGTTACTGCCTCAATCAGTAGAAAGTTAAGTAAAGATGTGGATGGTTCATGCCTGTTATTCAGCACTTGGGAGGCAGAGGCAGGCTGATCTTTTTAAGTGTGAGGCTAGCCTGGTCTATGTAGTGAATTCTAGGATAGTCAGGGTTATATAGTGAGAACCTGTCTCAAGAAAACAACAAAAACAACCTTGTGTTTAATATATACAGTGAGTGTTTCATTAATGTTTTTCTAGTGAGGTACTGAAACCCCATTTCATGCCTTTCTCCTTCATTCTCACCTCTCTAATGCTTTACTGGTTGGATATTTTTTTCCCTTTGAGATAGTGACTCTGTGTACCTCTTGATGTCCTGAAACTTACTATGTGGAACAGGCTGGCCTTAAACCTGCAGAGATCCGCCTGTCTTTCCCTCCCATAAAGGTGTGTGGTACCATGCCTGGCCACTTGCTGGAATTTTATAGGTGAAATACTATGGTTTGCAAAAACACTTTTAGCCTACTTTTGTAAGACAGTTTGATTCTTACTGGTCAGTATTCACAGACTAGAAATCATACGGAGGACTTGAAGCCAGTTGTATTTACCTATCTATGCAATAGTTATTTGACAGATCTGTTGACTTTTAGTTTTGAAAACATGTCTATTCCCTTATTCTCCAATTTTGTGTTATTGTGCATTTCATAGTTACCTAGCACTGCTAAGTACCCTGCCTAAAAAGTTTATGACAGGATCGCAGGTGGAAATATTACTAGGAGGTTAATTAAGATAAAGGTATGATGTGTAGTAGTGATTGAGAGTAGTTTGAGCATTAGCAAACAAGGTGCCTGAGCTCAGGGTCTGTGGACGTTTTCTCGGAAAACTTGAAAAAAAAAAGTCTGCTGAATTTGTTAGATTCTAAGAAGGAGATTCTGATCATTAATTGCAGATAATTCCAATGAAATTAGGAATATGATTTTCAGAAATTAAAGCAATATACAAACATGGAAATAAACTGAGTATATCTAAGAATGAATACTCAATACTGATAGATTAAAATAGGAAAGGAGATTTAAAATAAGATCAGATCATTTGTTCCTCTGTTAAGGTGAGAATAATTAGTACTTAGAAAATAATGGTAGCAGATGCTAGTGACAAAGGCAGAATACTTAGTTCATGTTTCACTTCTGCCTTTTCTAGGAAGGAAAATGATTTTCAAACAGAAAAGATAGAAATAACATCAGAAAGAATTAAAGACAAGGTAGGTGAGAGAAGAGAGAGAACATGGTCCTTCTAAGTTTTTCTTGTCTCTGACAATTTTGTTCGTTGATGTCAAAGGAGTACTGGTGGATGTGAATGCAGAACCACTTAATCAGGGAAATCATGGAGGGCAAAGTATATGAACACTGAGCTAGCAAATGTTATTCCACCTTTTAGAAAGCTAAGACGAGGAAGATACTACAAACTAGCCTGGGTGGTGGTGGTGCAAGCCTTTAATTCCAGTACTTGGGAGGCAGAGGCAGGCACTCCGTGAGTTCCAGGACAGCCTCTCTACAGAGTAAGTTCCAGTGCAGCCAGGGCTACATAGAGAAACCCTGTCCCAAACAAAACAAAAGAAAATAAACAACAAAAAATTACTACAAAATGAAATTAATGACCTGGGATAGGTGATTAAGTAGAAGATTTTAATTAAAACTGGGTTATTTTGAACAGACTATTCTAATCTCACCTTCAAAACTAGTAAATTTGCAGAGGACATGTCACCTGCCTTTGCAAACAAAGTTTAATTGAACATGGTCACATCTATTTCTGTGTTTCTGATTGTTTTTTGTATTGCAGTGGAGTCATTTATAAGCTGCTATCATCTAAGACCATGTAACCTTGCAAAGCTAAAAATATTTACTATCTGGCTTTTCACAGAAGTTTGCCAAATGTAGAGTAGAAGAATGAGATAGAATATATATTTGATGTGAGTGGGCTATTTTATTATTTGCCTGAATATTAAATGATAGGTATAGGTTATATGTTTATAGTAGGCTGAATAATTATTGAAATATATTAATAATTGTTTCCAAACTTGAGAAATCATATTGATTTTCCTTGATTTTTTTTTTTTTTGGGTGGGGGATCAATATCTGGTCCCTATGGTTAAAGCCATAGCAGAAGGCCTGTTACTTTTGTAGTCAGTACAGAGTACATTTAAGAGTCAGTTACCCCATCTCAGAAAACCAAAAAAAAAAAAAAAAAAAAAAAAAGAGTCAGAGTTACTGCCAAAGCTAGGAAGATTAGTTTAGTTATGAAAGTAAGAATGAATATACATATATTTTATATATATATATGCATATATATACACACATATATGTATATATATATGTATATATATAATATTATATGAAATAGTTATTGAAAGAAAGATGTAGAATTATATACCTTTATAATACTCTATGCAAAAAAATACCATAATGGATTTAGTGTGAACCAATAATGTCATCTTGCTGCTGAGTTATAGAGATATACTCCTATAATCCCAGCAGATAAGAGTTGGAGGCAGGAGTTTTGTGAGTTTGATACTAGCCTGTGCTGCACAGGGAGACCATTTCTCAAAAAAAACACTTCCCCATACTTTTTAAAAGAACTGCTTTGCCGGGCAGTGGTGGCGCGCACGCCTTTAATCCCAGCACTTGGGAGGCAGAGGCAGGCGGATTTCTGAGTTCGAGGCCAGCCTGGTCTACAGAGTGAGTTCCAGGACAGCCAGGGCTACACAGAGAAACCCTGTCTCGAAAAAAACAAAAACAAATAAAGATAGGTCCTCACCAGGCAGTAGAGGTACACACCAGGGCTATACAGAGAAACTCTGTCTCGAAAAACAAACAAACAAACAAACAATAAAAGAACTGCTTTGTAGTAGTTATGTGGTAGCCAACTCTGTCCTACTCTGAGAACCCTCTTTGAGCATTTTCTTCAGTTCTAGTTACCACAAGCATATCAGAAGTTCTTTTACCAACATAACTTACTCAGGAGAGGGACTGAGGAGATAAGTCATTGGAAACAAGGACACTGGAGGAACATTTGAAACAGTAACAGTCGATCTTTAGCTTTGAGAACAGGAAGGTTGAGGAAATGTGAATGATAGTTACCTTAAAATACTGGAAGACAGTGGAAGGAGATACGATTTGCTTAAAAAAAAAAGATACAGATTTGTTTCAAAAAATTCTTTGATCAAGATTGGAGTAGGCTGCTTTTTGAACATATTAAGTCACTAAAATCACAGTTTTCAAACATAATAGGAAAATATGGAAGAATTATTATTGAGTCAGACTAGTTCTATAAATAAATAAAGCCTTCATGAACTAGGGCTGTATGTCTCTCAGTAGTGGAGCACATGCCAGCTAGGTGCTCCTCCAGCCTCTACACGAACAATCTATGCTTGTATAGAATAATTAAAATTTGCATAAATGCAGTCTGGTGTGTGTGTGTGCGCGCGCATGTAGACAGAATCTCATTTCTGTTCTTTTGAGACAGTAGATCTCTACGTAGTCCAGGCTATGTGCCAAACTCACTATGTAGTCCTTGAACTCACTCATTGTGATCCTACAGCCCTAGCTTCCTGAGTGCTGGGGCACTCCATGTGGGGCTAGGAATTTTTTTTTTTGTTTCCCTAAGGGCAAGAGATTTATTTTGCCAGTTATTCCAGAGCTTCCACTTGTTTAGTAGGGAGGGCACAAGTTGGACAGAACTGTTTAACTCACGGTGAACAGAAGAGAATGGAAGCAGCTAGAAGGGCACAAGAAGAAATTTGAAGAGGGAAAAAAATTTACTGTTGACTGGTGTTTGTGTGGAAGACTCGGTAGTTCCTTAGCTGAGCCTCTAAAGGCTATATAGAACTTGTGGAGGTTAGGAGATACTCAGGTGGGCTTCTGCCATGAAGGCACCTTGAAAGTAGGCGTACAGTGAGTATATGAGCATAAATGAGAACACAAAATGGCAAGAAGCCTTAGATATCAAGTCAGTCCTGGGGAGTGAAGGGATGAGCGTTTCCATTCTGCGTAGCTCCCCTTTAGCACCTCACATAGTTCTGTGCATCCTCTGACTTCAGCAGAGGAGGATTTCAAGGACGCGGAATTTCTGTTTTCAGGAGGGCAAAGTTTGCTTGCCCTGAATTAGAATTCTCAGGAGGATGAGTCTACAATTAGAGAATATTAAAGACACTGGCACTAGGATTGCTCCAACCTACATTCCCAAAATACTTCTTGTTTAGTTAAAGCATTGTCTAGGGGTTGGAGACATGGCTCAGTAAAGAACGCTTGTTATTGTCTGAGAAGACCCACGCTTGATCTCCATCACTCACAACCACCTGTAACTCTAGCTCTAAGGGCAGCTTGAGTTCTTTGATCTTTGACCTCTAAGGACATTTGCTCTTATTTGCAGTTGCACACATGTAATTAAAAACAATAAAAATAAATCCTAAAAACATTGTCCCTGGGTGATGGTGGCACATATCTTTAATCCTAGTATTTGGGAAGGAGAGGCAGGTGGATTCTTGAGTTTGAAGCCAGCCTGGTCTACAGAGTAAATTCTAGGACAGCCAGGGCTACATAGTGAAACCCTGTCTCTAAAACAAAACAAAGCATTGTCTAATTTTTCCTGTTTAACAAGCACTTCTCTATTGCTACCAAAGTCACTCCCTTAGATTTCCTGAACTGCCCTCTTTTCTTCTAAAAGGGAGAAGAAAGCTTTATGTTTGGTTGGTTTTTTGAGATGGGTTCTCTGTAATGGACAGCTTTTTAAGTCATTACTTTAGACTTAGGTTTTGGAGATTAGTGAGGAATTTTTAAAGTGTATAATGAAACTTACTAAGGACGAGTCATCCTGATCTCACTGTGGCAAAGAAGGGTTATTGCTGAAAGGCTGCACAGGGACACTTTAAAGGCCTGGAGTTGGAAACCTCTGTTTGAGGGAAACTGCTAAGGCATAGATTTGGAGGGTGAAAAGATTACCCTTGTGACTTGATATTTGCTGGTTGTGGTTGTCCACAGTGGCAGGTGCACAGCATAGTTCATGTTTTATAAAACTCTTCTTGATAACAGAAGTACTTTGCTGTGTTTCTTTCATTTAAATGGATAAATAGATGGGTCTTTCCCAGGTTTTCATAGTGATTCAGAGAATAAGTGGGAGTGGAGTATAACCTTGGTAGCTGATAACATTGTTGGTGTTCTATTACTTGTGTGAGTTAAAAAAATTAAGTCAGCATCTCATACTGTAGACTTGGAACTCATTATGTGACTGACCTCAGAGTCACAGTAATTCTTCGACTTCCTGCTTAAGTGCTAGGAATACAGGTGTGACCTACCACCACACCTGGCTTTGATGGGAATTGTTAAAACTTCTAGAGTGTTCCATTAGACTGAAACCAGGTATGATTTTTATTATAGTGGCTCAGTTTTCTTAAATAGAGTTTAATGGAGTTTATTTTATTAATGTATTTATTTGTGTGTATTTGGGAGATACACGCATGCCTTGTGCTTGTGTGGAGCTTAAAACACAATTGGCAGGAATTGGGTCCGGGGTCCAAGATAGGCTATCAGACTTAGCATCAAGTACCTCAAGCCCTTGAGGCCCAGATTTTTAAATGAAGATTTTTGTTTCTAATATTTCATTTTATTTTCTGAATTGCCATCTACACAGAGCTTGGAGGACTCCTGAAGTATGTACGACCTTTCTTGAATTCCATCAGTAAAGCTAAAGCAGCTCGTCTGGTTCGGTCTCTTCTTGATCTGTTTCTAGATATGGAAGCAGCTACAGGGCAGGAGGTAAGTTCTATGAATGACAGGAAGCAGATAGTATGGAAAGCAGTGTGTCTCAGTGAAAGATGTGTACTTACTTCACTGTGGTGCTGTGTGGAAGGGACAGCTGGGAGCATGCTCAGGACTTATCATGTCAGTTTCTCTTTGTTACAGGGCATTTGATACTTTGAGTCTGTTCCATGCTTTGCTTTGTAAGTGGAGATTGTCAGTGGTCCCTGGAATCCTCATTACATCAGGGTCACAAACTGATTCTTGTCTTTGAGGTATTGTATTGCCACACCTTTGTAATGTTTTCTGTGTCTGTGGTACCTTTCATCTTGTGTCACGAAGTTTCTTATGAGCACCAATTAAGCCTTGTGACATCCTTTCTTGTACGTTTTGTATGGCTTACGTGCCTTTATTAAGGGGTAAGCATCCATCTGTTGTGTTTCACGTGTTGGGAAGTGACTGATGTTTTTATACATGTTACTTACAAGTTTAAACTGGACTTTGAGCTTTTCAAAAGAGGTCCTCTCTGGAACCAGTATTTACTGAGTGCCTATAGTAATACTATAGCCAGTAGGGATAAAGTCGAAAAAATGCAGTAATACTCTCATGAAGATTACATTCTAAGAGGGAAGGCAGATAATATATAAGATGTATGATAGATAATACATAAAGTCAGGGGCTGGAATTGCCAGTTGCTCAATATGTCTGATTATCTTCTGTGTCTGAGGTGAACTTGCAGGTAAAAACAAAATTCCACAGTAGTATATTGGACTGAGTGAGGGATTTCAGAAATCCAGGACACATGGATCCTACTTTGGAATTACATTTTGTTGAGTCTGTTTTCTTTTTTTTTTCTTTTTTGGTTTTTGAGACAGGGTTTCTCTGTGTAGCCCTGGCTGTCCTGGAACTCACTCTGTAGACCAGGCTGGCCTCAAACTCAGAAATCCGCCTGCCTCTGCCTCCCAAGTGCTGGGATTAAAGGCGTGTGCCACCACTGCCCGGTGAGTCTGTTTTCTTGCTTTGATGCTTTTTTATTTTTTATTTTTAGATTTATTTATTTATTTATTTATTCATATTAGTATTAGTGTTTTGCCAACATGTATGTATATGTACTACATACGTGTCTGGTGCTCTTTGAGGCCAGAAATGGGCATTAGATACCCTGGAACTAGTCTTATGGATGGCAGTAAACCGTTATGTGGGTGCTGGGAAATGAACTCAGGTCCTTTAAAAGAACAGTATGGGCTCATAGCCGCTGAGTCATTGCTCCAGCCCCACTCTGATAAAGCCAAGCTATCACCTTTATTTGAACTCTTCAGTTTCCTTGTTTCTGGTTGATGATAGTAGCTCAAAAATAGATAATATTTAGATAAATATTTTTGAATCAAAGTATTATAGTTATTTGGTGAATTAAAGAAACATACTTTTTAGAAATGTTTTTTAAAATATTTAGTTTTTTTATCAAGTCTTAAACTTGTTTTATAAATTGTACTTTATATTCATGAGTTCATCTTTGGTCTGAAGTAGAATTTCTTAAGATAGGCTGACCAATGAATGTTGGCTTCTGACTACTAAATGCTACTTTGAACTTTTTAGGTTAAAAATAATTTTTTTCTTCAGTTTTTTTTTTTTTTTTTGAGACAATATCACTATGTTTCCTTGGCTAACCTGGAACTCACTATGCTGACTGAGACTGGCTTGGGATTCAGAGAGATCCACCTGCCTCTTCTTCTGGAGTGCTAGGATTAAAAGCATACGCCACCAGGCCTTTAATCCTTAGTCCTTTGTGGAAGTCCTCAGCTCATAACTTGGTGCTCTTTATTTGATCAGTGGGACTTACTGGCCTTTGTTATATGGCTCCATGTTTGTGCGCGCGCTCGCGCTCTCTCTCTCTCTCTCTCTCTCTCTCTCTCTCTCTCTCTCATTTCTGTACATTGTAGTTGTTCATTTCGCCAATTAATGACCTTCCTTCCTTTTCTTAGAGTAAAAGGAAGTACTCAGGCATGTTGTAGAAAAGTTAAATAATTAATCTGTCCTCTTCTAGAGATGTCTCACTGTGTGGCCCTGACTGGTCTGGAATTTATTAGGTATGCCAACCGGCCTCAGACCAATAGAGATCTTCCTGCATCTGCTTTGCGAGTGCTAGGATTACCCATGCTGGCTCACTTGTCCTTCAGAGTCAGGCTCTCATAGCTCAGGCTGCTGTGAAACTTGAAATCCTCTTTAGCTTTCCAGGTGCTGCCATTAAAGGTGTGCACTACCATACCTGGCTACATTTTGTCATGTTTGTACGTGTGTGTAACTTCAGTGTTTAGTAAAGACTTTTTTTTTGACAATTAGCAATTTAACTTTTATCAAAAAAAATCCTGTCTATTCCATTGATTGGATTTTTTTGATAGTTATAGGTTATTTGCTATTAAAAAAAAAATTCTACTTTGTGTGTGTACCCATGTTCTGTGATGCATGTTTGGGGGTGTCAGAGGACAGCTTTCTGGATTATAGGCGTGTGTTACCACACCTGACTTCCATACTTTCTTTCTCCCTGCCTCCCCCAATGCTTTCTTTTCTTCTTTTTTTTTCCTCTCTTTTTTTTTTCTTTTTCTTTCTTTTTTTTGAGACAGGGTTTCTATGTGTTGTCCTGGAGCTGAGGAGCCCCTCCTGCCCCTGCCGTCTGAGTGCTGTGGTTAAAAGCATGCACCATTGCTGCCTGGATTTATATTCGTTTTCCTTTTAGCTATTTTGTCTTTTTTTAAATTTTGTTTTAATTTTTGGATTTTCTTGTTTTCTTTAGAGACCATCTTACTGTAGCCTTGAACTCAAGAGATCTGTGTGCCTCTGCCTCTTGAGTGCTAAGGTTAAAGGTGTGCACCAACACTGCCTGGCTTATTTTCAAAGATATTTTACCAACTAGCCTTCTAAAAATTTTGTATCTTTTCTGTTCTTGCTTAAGCCTTCAGTGGCTTCCCACTGTCAGCTTGAGGTAGTTCCTGGCTTTCTGGAATATAGTACAGTACAGCGCCTCACTCTCTCCTTTCTGAATACTGTTCTGGGCTTGGTTTGCTGAGAACCCATCTGCTCCTCATGTGCGGTTTTCCTTCTGTAATCCTGTCTCAGGTTTTTTTCTTGTTAATGTTGATGTGATCTTAACTTCTTCAGTGACCCACATTGTATTTTATACATGTTATATTTCTGTTTTTTTTTTTGCCTTAAACGAGAATTATACATTTGCCTTATCATCTTTAACATAGTTTCACTCAGGAACTATACCTGGAGGTAACTCAAGGCTTTCCTCATTTCCAGTACATGTCACATTCTATGGTTATTTAATTATTTTTTTTTTAGATTTATTTTATGTGCATAAGTGTGTTGCCTATATGAACATAAGTGCACCATGTGTGTTCAGTGCCTGAACATGTCAGATGAGAATGTTAGACCCCCTAAAACTGGGATTACAGGCCATTGTGAGCTGCCATGTAGGTGCTGGGAACCAAACCCAGGTCTCCTTCGAGAGCTGCCAGTTGTCTTTAACAGCAGAGCTCTCTTTCTGGCCCCTAAGAGTAGTTTGTCTTAAAGGAATTACATAATTAGTACTTGAAGGAGAAGGAATATCAGGCCTTGGGTGTTCAGAAAATATTTTCTTGAATTAAGATCTGAGGCTTTTTTTTTTAAAACTTACTGATTTTTTTTATATATATGGATGTTTTGTGTACATGTGTGTTTGTGCACCAGGTTGTGTCCTCAGAGGCTAGAAGAGGTTGTTGAATCCTTGGGGACTGTGGAATTAGACAGTTGTGAGGCCCTGTGAAGGTGCTGAATATTGAACCTGGGTCCTCTAGAAAAGCAACCAGTGCTCTTAACTGATTAGCCATCTCTTCAGCCCCTAGATATGAGTTTATTTAACGGACATATGAATATACCTCACCTTTCCTTGTCTAGATGACTCAAAAGTTTTTGTTGTGGGGAAATTGATACATTGTTTATTCTTGGTTCTTTAAAATTTTCTGGTAATGTGAAAACATAGAGAAGGAAGGCATAGATGGCTCACTGTTTTAGTACTATTGAGGCCCGAGGAAGTCTGAGAAATTGTTAAGGGAGCTAGACTTGTGTTAAAGAGCTTTGTATCAATAATACAGGAGGGAAGGGTTGGTGAAATGGCTTATCTGGTAAAGATGCCTGCTGCCAAACCTGATGACCATTCTTGGTATCCACATGGTGGAAGCAAAAACTAAGTCACTGAGACAAAATAACTGTAGCAAGCTCCATGATCTTTAAATTTTTTCCTCTGGGCCTGGCACTGGTTTCTTAATTATTATTATAGATAAAGCAAACCAGTATACTCAGTAATTGAAAATAGATTTCAAATTCATTTGTAAGGCACAGAAACTTTCTTGTTGTAGGAACGTGTCTGTAGTGACCTTAACTAAAGTCCTGGTTAAGGCAGAAAGAACTCTGGGGATAGGGAAAGCTGATGTGTGACCTTGTGAAAATAGCTTACCATCTGGATTATCAGGGAAATGAAGGTGGGTGAGATGCTAGAGTAGACTCAGCTGTCTCTTGCTTAGGACTATTTTGGAGTTTTTTATTTTATGTGCATTGATGTTTTACCTGCATGTATGTTTGTCTGTGTGAGGGTATTAGATCCCCTGGAACTGGAGTCACATGTGGGTCCTGGGAATTGAACTTGGGTCCTCTGAAGAGCAGCCAGTGCTCTTAACTGCTGAGCCATCTCTTTAACCCCTTGGAGTATTTATTGAAGTACAACATAGTATAGAGGAATATATCAGTTTCTCAGCATTCATTTTGTGTTATTTGGAAAAGCACTCCATTTTCCTAGCCTCACAAGTTATATATGACTTAAGACTATTGTATTTTTCTTGTTAAAAATATTCAAAACAGCCAGGTGGTGGTACCCTATGCCTTTACTTCCAGTACTCAGGAGCAGAGGCAGGTGGATCTCTGTGAGTTGGAGGACAGCCTGGTCTACAGAGCTAGTTTTAGAGTAGTCAAGGCTACAGAAAGAAACTCTGTCTTGGAAACACAGAAAAAAATTCAGAATATTTTCAGTTTATCCATATCATGAATATATCTTGAATTTGACTTTTTATAACATACTGCAAAACTCTTAAGGTTGTGATTGGCTTGCTTTTAGTTTAGTTTTTGCAGATTAAGTAGCCACCAGGGGGCTTCAGTGAGGAGTTAGTTAGAATTCATTAGCCTAGTCCTAGTGAATTGTCTCAGTGTTGTTTTGTTTACTTGTCATTCTCATCGCGTTAGATTACTCTCTTCAGTTTTCCTCTCTCACAGCATCTCTCAGAAGAACTTTGAATTTACAAAAGAACCCATTGCATTAGTTCTCCAGAAAGTTCAGTTTCTCATTTCATCACCTTGTAGTCTTATTAGCAACCTTTTTAAAAAAAAAAAAAAAAAAAGATTTATTTATTTTATTTATCTGAGTACACCGTCACTGTCTTCAGACACACCAGAAGATGATATCAGATGGCTGTGAGTCACCATGTGGATGCTGGGAATTGAACACAGGTCCTCTGGAAGAGCAGCCAATGCTCTTAATCGCTGAGCCATCTCTCTAACCCCTGTCTTCCCCTTTAATATAAACTAAGTTTACTGTATTTGTTTTTCTGTGTGAATGATAATAGTGTTTAGGAGAAAGAGTGAGCTAGATGTTTTGAGCCTCCCAGCTGTTAGGAACAAGGTTTTTTTTGTGTGTGTGGAGTTTTACCTCTTTTTACTAGCATAGTCACAGTGTTTACTATACAGTTGTGCTTTAAAGATACCTACAATGTCATAAAAATAGACATTCCAGGACTATGTGTTAAAAAATTCTGAATATCTAGTAGGAAGGTAAAAGTGGAAGCTTTTTCCAAAGAATACTCTTTTGTTATTGAGATGGTCTCTGTATTTCCCTGGCTGTCATGGAAATCATTATGTAGACCAGGCTGGTTGGCCTGGAATTCGTGGGGATTTGCCTACTACTTTCTCCCAAATGCTAGAACTAAAGGTGTGCATGCAGGGGCCAAAGAATATAAATTTTTTTTTGTTTTTTTCAAGACAGGGTTTCTCTGAATAGCCCTGGCTGTCCTGGAACTCACTCTGTAGACCAGGCTGTCCTCGAAATCAGAAATCCGCCTGCCTCTGCCTCCCAAGTGCTGGGATTAAAGGCGTGCGCCACCACCGCCCAGCTAGAATATAATTTTTAAAAGCCAAGTTGCTTCTTGATTACAGTGTAAGCATTACATTTTGAGGTCTCGTGGGCCAGCATCCTATGGACTGTGAATAACATTTGGGATCTGAAAGAAGGGAGTTAGAGCTTTCCTGCTTCTAATTGTGCTTAGTTGGAAGAAGGTAAGGGCATCATGTTACATGTATGTCTCTCTTGGCAGGTCGAGCTATGTTTAGAGTGCATCGAATGGGCCAAATCAGAGAAAAGAACTTTCTTACGCCAAGCACTGGAGGTAAGTGTCTACTAACATTGGCTTCAGATCTGTAGTTAGATAAGATGTAAGTGTAAGTAGTACCACTGTCACCTGAGGGTTCTTGAATGTCCCTGCTAGAAGTCCCCTCCCTCCCTCCCTCCCGCCCGCCTGCTCCCCCTTCTTCTTTGCCCGCCCCCTCTCTCTTTCTCTCTCTCTCTCTCTCTCTCTCTCTCTCTCTCTCTCTCTCTCTCTCTCTCTCTTTCTTTCTTTCTTTCTTTCTTTCTTTCTTTCGCAACAGTGTCTTATTCTACAGCTCAAGATAGCTTCAGACCTTTGGTAAACTTTTTTGTTTCAAGTCTCCTGAATTCTGGATTTATAGATGTGAACTACCATGCTTGGTGACTTTCCTTTAAAGTATTTTGATTTCTTCTCAAAGTTTTGAGGTACTCTTGCTATTTTGGTATAGAAGATACACTATGGTGTAGTTCACAGTCATTTGGCCATAGTAAGAAATAGTGCTGGGGCTGAGTTCAGTTGTTGTGTTGAACTTGATGTTATCATCAGAACTTGAATAGAACAGTAAGTGTTCTGTAACTCTCAACCTCTGATTTCTTTCTGTGGCTTTTCCCCTTGTTCCCTGTAATCAATGCCTGTTCTTTTTCCTAGGCAAGGCTGGTGTCTTTGTATTTTGATACCAAGAGGTACCAGGAAGCATTGCATTTGGGTAAGTAAACTGGTGGAAATCAAAATAAGACCTCTAAACTAGCTAAATGAGTGCATTCCAAACTTGGTTATTCTTACTGATTGTTAATAATCATTTTACTTGTATGTAAGAAGTATTTCAGGTAGTTTACAATTCATAAATTAACAAATTTATAAAATTTGTCACAGTAAAGTCCTGTTTAGATTTCTGAAAGACTGGGGTGGGTGTGCAGCTCAGTGCTAGTGTTTACCTAGTAGCATGGGAATACATTTCTGGGAATCCAGCTGGGGTTAATCTCAATTTTATAGACCAGACATCAGTTTTAAGCTTTAAATTTAAAGTAGTAAAAGTCATTTCATTGAAATAGTAGCTGAATTTTTTTTTAGTTTATTTTATACATAATATCTTGGTAAATTTCAGATTTAATTTTTTAAATTATACAAATGTTTTATAGGCTACTATAAAGCTACTATGTGTGTGTGTGTATGTAATTTTTTATTTTATGTGCATTGGTGTTTTGACTGCATGTATGTCTGTGTGAGAATGTTGGATCCCCTGGACATAAGTTACAGTTGTGAGCTGCCATGTGCATGCTGGGAATTGAACCTGCATCCTCTGGAAGAGCAGCCAGCACTCTTTAACTGCTGAGCCTTTTCTCCATTTCCCTGTATTTTTAATATTTTTTAATATTTATTTTTATGTGTATATGTTTATGTGAATATTTTCACATCTGTGCATATCATGGAAATCAGAAATGTTGGATCCCTGTAGCTGGAGTTACAAGTAGTTTGTGAACTGCCTGATATAGGTACTGAGATCTGAACTCACAGGTCCTCAGGAAGAGCATTAACTTAACATAATCTTAACTGCTGAGCCATCTCTCTTTTCCCTATATTACTATTTGTAATATACTGCAAATCTACTTTATTTTTGTTACATTTTTATTTTGGTGGGGAGAATGCATGTATGCAAATAACACAGTGTGTATGTGGAGGTTAGTGGACAGTTTTTAGGGAGTTGGTTCTATTCTTCTAACTTGTGGATTCTGGATTGAACTCAGGCTTGGTGACAGGCCATTTTGTTGGCCTTTAAAGTCTCTTAAAATTTGAAAATGGAGCTGGGCATAGTGAATCATGCCTCCATCAAAAGTCCACAAATGGGGATGGCTTAGTTGGCCAAATGCTTGCTTGCTCTGCACACACAAGGATCTGAGTTTGATTCCTAGAACTCAAGTACAAGGCCTTCAATCCTATTATTGGGAGACAGAGACAGAAGGATCCCTGAGGCTTACTGGTCAGTCAGCCTGTCCTAACCTGTGAGGCAGCCCCAAGTCTCATTGAAAGATCCTGTCTCAAGAATACAAGGTGTACAGCTTCAGAGGAACACCGAAATTAGTGGTGGCAAGTTGTATAACTTAATGAATATTCTGAAACAAGCAACCCACTGAATTATATAACTTTGATAAGGTAAGTTCTGGTGACTGGGGAGATAGCTCACTTTGTAAAATGCTTGCCATGAAAACTTGAGAACCTGAGTTTGATCCCCAGAACCCATGTAAAAAGCCAGACTTCTAATTCCAGTACTAGGGAGAGAGAGAAAGGAGGATCCCCAGGGAGGAAAAGGAAGAAAGAAAACTGATTCCTACAAGTTGACCTGGCTTACATACACACACACACACATACACACACACACACACACAGACACAGAGACATGTCAGGAAATTAAGTGCTTATATTTTTGGAAGTTGGGTGTGTTTTTTGTTTTTTGTTTTGTTTTAATGTTTTTATTAGCATATATGATTATATATAATGAGATTTGTTACATTATTACGTTTTCATAGAGGTTATGAAACTCATGTTTTCCTTTGTGATCCAGTGGATTAAATGATCTTTAAATACCCTAGAAATCTCCTATTGCTTGGTGTTGGATTTATTTTATGTATATAAGTGTTTAACCTGCATGTATTATGTATGTAAACTGTGTGCATGCCTATGGGTAGTATAAGTCACCATGTGGATACTGGATTCTCTGCAAGAACAGTAAGTGTTCTTAACCACTGAGCCTTCTTTCCAGTTATATATTTTTTTGAGACAGGTTTTTAAGTTCAGGCTTCTGCTTTATCGTCCCTCTGTTAGGATTACAGGCACATGGTACCATGCCTGTTTCTACTTGCTCTTTATAAATAATGGTAACAATATCTCATTTCCCTTATGATTTATTAAGTTAAAAATTGCAGGGAACCATGGAGTTGGCTTGGCTTACTTGCCTTGAGAGGCATGTGGCATAGGTTTTTCAAGTATTCATACTCACTTTTTAGCACCCTGAGAAAAAACAAACACAGCCTCTGCTCTAGTGACTTACTGGATCTGGGACATTCCGTTGGCCAGACAAAATATCTCTCCAAAGGACTATGACTTTGAATTTTTTTGGAAGGGCTCAGAGATGTTCTGCAGAAGTAAGAGTATTCTTCCTCAAATTAAAAAAAAAAATTGTACTGTCTATATAGAAGACAAAATATTATGTGGAGTAGCCATACAATGCTCCCCCTCCTTTGTTTTTAAATAATATTTAAGTTGTCCATTATATCTTTTTACAAGAGATAGACCCTGAGGGTTTTATTTTTTATTTATTTATTTTTTTGGTTTTTTGAGACAGGGTTTCTCTGTGTAGCCCTGGCTGTCCTGGAACTCACTCTGTAGACCAGGCTGGCCTCAAACTCAGAAATCCGCCTCCCTCTGCCTCCCAAGTGCTGGGATTAAAGAGATGTGCCACCACTGCCTGGTACCTTGAGGGTTTTAAAGAATGTCTATGATAGGGGTTATATCAAACTTTTGGCAAAATTTCTGAATAGACTTGTATGTATGTAGGAGCATTGTTTTTTAATATTTTACAGGGGCATAAAATAGTTAAAGCCAATGCTAAGTCATTTAAAGTATTTAACAAAAATTTTAATTTCTTTTAATAAGGAATGCAAGCTTAAAGAATTAATCCAGCCGGGCGGTGGTGGCGCACGCCTTTAATCCCAGCACGTGGGAGGCAGAGACAGGCAGATTTCTGAGTTCGAGGCCAGCCTGGTCTCAGCTTGGTCTGAGTTCCAGGACAGCCAGAACTACACAGAGAAACCCTGTCTCGAAAAACAAAACAAAACAAACAAACAAACAAACAAAAAATCCAATTTTTATTTTTGTAAACAGATCTTGTAGCATTTTATTATTTTTAGCAGAGAGTAGAATATCATTCATATAATGTATAAGAAAAGGAAGAAGAAACTTTTTTTCCCCCTTGCTGAATGCCTGCCAGTAGCTGAGGCATTACCTACCCTTGGAGGGTTGTAGCCAGAGTTAACTCTTGAGTATATGAAGGTACTTGAGTATATAATATCTCCCTTTAAAAATAGAACATTTGACAGTCTGGCATGTAGCATTAACATTTTCATATGCTAGTTGTTTAACAGTAAACATTCCTGCCTCCCTGTCAACTATCAGATGATTGACCACCTGCAAAAGATGAGAAACAAAATCTTGATATGGCTCATCAGGCCCCCATCTAATTTTAGAGAGGGTTTTTTTGAATCTTTATTCCAGAATTTGTTAAGTTAGGCCATGCCTGTAAAACCAAAGCGTTGATTTGTCCACAAATCTCAGACGGCTATGTGATCTGTCAATTGAGCATCCTTATCTATGCCTTCTACTAATACTTCAAAAGTTAAGGGTTTGGGCGGTGGTGGCGCACGTTTTTAATCCCAGCACTTGGGAGGCAGAGGCAGGCGGATTTCTGAGTTCGCGGCCAGCCTGGTCTACAGAGTGAGTTCCAGGACAGCCAGGGCTATAAAGAGAAACCCTGTCTCGAAAAACCAAAACAAACAAACAAACAAACAAAAAAGTTAAGGGTTCATTATTTTGTTGACTTCTTTTTTTTTATAAAAAAGATTTATTTAGTTTATGTATATAAATACACTATAGCTATCTTCAAACACACCAGAAGAGGGTATCAGATCCCATTACAGATGGTTGTGAGCCACCATGTAGTTGCTGGTAACTGTACTCAGGACCTCTGGAAGAGCAGTCAGTGCTGTTAACCACTGAGCCTCTCCAGCCCCTATTTTGTTGATTTCTAATAGCTTGGTCCTGACATCTTTCTTTTTTTTTTTTTTTCCTAAGATTTATTTATTTTATGTATATGAGTACACCATTGCTCTCTTCAGACACACTACAAGAGGGTATCAGATCCCATTACAGATGGTTATAAGCCACCATGTGGTTGCTGGGAATTAAACTCAGGACCTCTGGAAGAGCAGTCGGTGCTTTCAACCACTGAGCCATCTCTCCAGCCCGACATCTTTCTGAATAATTAGTCTTCCACAGTACATACTTATCCCCAGTAAGATCCTCCTGTCAGAGGGAAGGAAAACTTTCCCAGAAATAGAATCAAGGAGAGACAATATAAAAGGAACAGTTGGTCCATATTGAGCTTAAGTCTGCTGAAAATCCTTAAGAGTCTTAAATGAAATGGGAATATAATTTCTAACTCATTGCCTTGGGTTATTAGGATTGGATGTTTCATTCACTGGTAAAAGAGAGCCCTTCCATGTCTTTTTGATCTCTTGCACTGGATACATAGTCTCTTGGCTGGTAGACTTGTACTGTGACTTAAAAGAAGTTAATTCTCTCATGGTGGTGAGAAACCTCTTGAACAACCCAATAAGAGATGAAGTGAAACATCAGAAAAAAAGTTTTTTTTTAAAAGCTTTATTTTATGTATGTAAATATACTGTAGCTGTCTTCAGACACACCAGAAGAGGGCATCAGATGTCATTAGAGATGATCGTGAGTCACCATATGGTTGCTGGGAATTGAACTCAGGACCTCTGGAAGAATATCCAGTGTTCTTAACCACTGAGCCATCTCTCAAGCCCAGAAAAAAAGTTAACATACTGTCAGGAACTGCACTTACTGGACAGGGTAGGGAGTGGGGGAAATTTGAGGTGTGTGGGGGGAGCAAAATCAGCACAAGGAGAAGGA